CCAGCAATCAATGTGCACTTTGAAATGGGCTGCATTGCCATCATCCATTGAAACTAAATATCATGTGTACAGGTGTCTTCTGTTCGAGCAAGCAAGTCAGATGACAAAAGGCTTTCAATATTCACTGGAACAAAAACTCTCCACTTGCGTTGCCAGTCTAGAGAAGACCGAACTGCATGGATCGAGGCACTTCTGGTTGCTAAAGATCAATTCCCAAGAATGTTGTCAAGTAGCGATTTGGAAACTTCTGAAGAGTTTGTTGTCTCAACAGAGAAGCTACGATCACGATTACTACAAGAGGGTCTTGGTGAGGCAGTTGTTAAGGATTGTGAGTCTATTATGCTTCATGAATTTAGTGAGCTGCAGAATCAGTCGAAGGCTCTTCAACTTAAACATATTTTGCTGGTGGACAGGTTGAGACAGCTTGAGGTACTTTACTACTTCGTCATTAAGGGGTTCCTAATTTGCAAGACTGGGAAAGTTTTCCATGTCCTCTCCCCCTTGTTAAATATGTATATTGAACAAAAATGACCAGTCTTTACTTTATATCTTTCTTTCATTATGGCATTGTACGGTCTATTGCGTGCTTTCCATGACATTATCCTTTGTAAGCTTCTCATCCGATATCTGGTAAGCCGGGCTAAGCCAAGTGAATGCAACATTCCTTGTGTTAACTCTACTGTTTTCTAAATCTTGAGTTGTTACATCTTACTAATTTGTAGTTCTGCTTCTGGTCTTGCTGTCTTTGCATTACAAGACTCACTTCAAGCTATTCTCATCTTCATGTGGAGACCATGAGAATTGAGAAACTTCTTCTCTAACTATTTTTGGCAGACTGAAAAGATTGAGTTGGAAACAACTGTGGTTGATGAAACCAAGGAGAGGGATTCATGTTGTGGAGGGAACAGAAGATTCAGTGGTTAGTTAACACTTGTACAACCCATCTTATTCAAATTTGAAAGAAGGCTTCTTTTTTTTTTTTTTTTTTTTACGACTCACAATTGTATCATTGAAATTTTTGTGGGAAGTCTCCATTGAATGATAAAATTGTACCACTTTGCAGCTCATTCTTTTGAGTCTCAAAATTAAAAATTATCTGTGTTGAAAAACGTATCATCATCTTTGGAGATTTTGCAGATTTTTATTCCATCTTGTCGGAGGGGAGTGCAAGTGATTCTGATGCCGATAACGAAAGCCGAGGTGGAGGAGATATTGAAACAGATGAAGAAGGCATGTATTTTGACACAAATGATTTTATGCCTGCTGATTCTTTGAGAAGTGCTTCTTATCGAAGTAGAGAGAATACAGAAAATGCATGTAGCTCTTTTACAAATGAAAAAGGCTCATTCTTTTCTGATCGTCTGAGGGGAGTTGAGATAGAAATTAAGGCAATAGAATATCCATATGTCAGAAGACGGAATAATTTGCCAGAACCTAAGGAGAGAGAAAAGCCAGTTGGGTTATGGTCAATAATCAAGGATAATATTGGAAAGGATCTGTCTGGAGTCTGCCTTCCAGTTTACTTCAATGAGCCACTATCTTCATTGCAAAAATGCTTTGAAGATTTGGAGTACTCATACTTGGTTGACCGTGCATTGCAATGGGGAAAGCAGGTAACTCTTCAGCTTACTTGTATTTTATTCCCCTGAAAAATTAGTTTCTTGCATTGCAGAAATCCGGTAGTTAACTTACTGGCTTTGCTTCTTGAAACTCAAATGTTGTCTTTTACATAGCTCTCCTGACTGTATTCCATTCTTGAGCATCAAAATCTATGAAGAAATAGATAGTGCTGTTTCCTTGGTCTGGTCTTCCTCTATATAATAGTAGATGGTTTTGCTGCATCATTTTTATTTTCTTGAACCTTGTTCACATAATATGACTGATTTGATTGCTAGTTTAAATTGCATATGACAATTTTAACTTCTACAGGGGAATGATTTGATGAGAATATTGAATATAGCAGCTTTTGCTGTTTCTGGCTATGCTTCAACAGAGGGTAGGCAATGCAAACCTTTCAATCCTTTACTCGGGGAGACATACGAGGCTGACTACCCAGATAAAGGTCTACGTTTCTTCTCGGAAAAGGTAGCGCTTTTCTCTCCCAAAGAATTTGATAAATATCATCTTTGACCGTCTGGAATGTATCTTTTCCTCTGCCTTCTACAATGGAGGATCTTGATTGTTCCATGCAAAGTGGACTTCCATTACTGTAATGTCTTGGCACTCAATGAGATTTGCAATTGAGTCCTCATGGACGGGCCTCATCTCAGGTTAGTCATCATCCAATGGTTGTTGCTTGCCACTGTGAGGGCAGAGGATGGAAATTCTGGGCAGATTCCAATCTAAAAGGCAAGTTTTGGGGACGCTCGATTCAGCTTGATCCTGTGGGGATTCTTAGCTTGCAGTTTGAAGATGGCGAGACATTTCAATGGAGCAAGATCACCACTTCCATATACAATATCATAATTGGTACAATCTATTGTGATCACTATGGTACCATGCGCATCAGGGGTAGCGGTAAATATTCTTGCAAGCTCAAATTCAAGGAGCAGTCTATCATAGACCGTAATCCACATCAGGTGTGCCCCCCCCCCTCTCTCTCTCTCTCTCTGTGTGTGTGATGAAGTGGATGCCATTCTATTCCTCTACCTACCAAGTCAGTTAGTTGTTTATCTTTTAGTCCCCCCCCCCCCACCACCACCACCACCACCTGCATACAGAAAAGAAAAAAGATGGCTATGGATACAGTAGTGTAAACTGTCATGCAATCATTTGAAGGGACTTGGTAAATAAAAACTTTGCTTTCTTTTCATCCTATCACATATGACTCCCTTTTTCTTATTTTTCTTTTTTGTTTGTATACATGTAGTAATCTATACTTGTAAATTTCGATAGACAAATGTAAAAGAAAGTATTCATCATATGTTCAAATTTCTCTCTGCTGTTCTGTCCAACTTCCCTGTTTAATCAAAAGAACCACTGAATTTATTACAGAATTTGTTGTATTCAATGCCATCAAATTCTAGGTTCATGGATTCGTGCAAGACAACAAAACAGGAGAGAAGGTGGCAATGTTATTGGGGAAGTGGGATGAAGCGATGTACTATGTCTTGGGAGACCCCACTACAAAGCCTAAGGGATATGATCCCATGACAGAAGCCATATTGCTGTGGGAGAGGAACAAATCTGTTACCAAGACAAGATACAATCTTACACCTTTTGCCATATCCTTAAATGAATTGACACCTGGCTTACCAGAGAAGCTTCCTCCAACTGATTCGAGGCTGAGGCCAGATCAACGGCATTTAGAGAATGGAGAGTATGAGCTGGCAAATTCTGAGAAGCTAAGACTTGAACAACTACAAAGACAGGTATGCTCAAAATGTTGTTCTAGTTGCACGCTCATCAAAACAAGTTTATATTCTTCCCATATTCATCTCAACCCCATCAGCGAGTATTTGTTGAGTCCCCTTACTGCTTATTTATTATTCCCAGCCCCCTAAAAAATCTCCAATGATGCACTTATCCTACTATTATCTCTTTCTTTTTTTTTTCCTGGGTAGAAAGGGAATAAAATATTTACGATAAAAACAAAAAATTGACCTGGACGTTCCCAGTTAACACCTACACTACCACCTAAAAGATGAGATTATGCAACAGGTAGCTGATTACAAACAATCAAACCTTGGTTGGATTTAACTCCCAAGTTTGTAAGAAAGTCAGCACACTTGTTTCCTTCTCTAAAAAAGTGTTGGATCAGCACATCAAATCCTACTATCATCGTTAAACTAGTAGTATATCTACTGCCTTATTTTCTTTTCTGGTCAGCCACTTTCAGGATGACCTTCTATAAGAGCTCCATTTCTGTACAATAATGAACTTAATATCATCAAATGTTTGAGCTCCATTTTTGTTGCTTTAGGCTTGGACAACTTGTTTCATACTCTTAAGACTCATAGGCAGTATTTTATTACCTATTCTTGTGACTAAGTTAATGCCAGACCTACACATGGTGTTTCGATGAGTGGAAAGAGTGTTGGTTGAATCCTATGTTAAATTTCTGCAGGCAAGAAAGCTGCAGGAGAGAGGTTGGCAGCCAAGATGGTTCCAGAAGGATGAGGACGGTTGTTACCACTATGTTGGTGGATATTGGGAAGCAAGGGAGAAACGAAATTGGGAAGGGATCCCCAATATATTTGGACAGAGAAATGATTTGTCCCCTCATGTAATAGAGTAAGCAGCTGTAATGTTGGACATCCGATGTCTTCCCACATTTGTATTTTCCCTGTGGCCTTGTTGAAACTGGAAGCACAAGTTTTGCAATCAACTGACAGAAACGCTAATGTTGTGCTCTCTTCTCACGGCGAGATGATGCATATGAATGTTTCAGCTCATGTTTCCTATCATTGGGTGCTGAATCTTGGTATGTTCTCTCAAAAAAGCTAGGAGGCACGGGATATCGGCCTTTTTGCTCTAGTTGAAATTTACAGTATCCCACTTGTGCCCCAGTTACAATAATTCCCTTCAAAAAAAACATTTTGTGAATTGGGCTCATTAGGTGCTCCCTCTTTCTGATATGATGCCTTAAATGCTTTTGATATCAGCCCTCCCTGTAGCTATAGACGAGAACAAACAGAGATTCAAGAGTAGAATGCACTAAATATTTCAAAGGATCCAAGTCCGCATGATTACATTAATATCTGTGTTGGAAACAACATTCAAAAGAGTTGCCATGAGAGTTTTTCTTTTTTATTTTCTTTTAGCAGGAGAGACATGAAATTCAAGAATCAAGAAGGGTAAAGAAGAATTTAAACTCAGCAACATTAATTCTTAAAATCACGACCCTACTCACTAGATCAAGGTCTCCTCATTTTCTCTTAGTATAATTAATAATGAGTTACCATAAGGTACATCACTCTTCATTCCTTTGACTAGTTAAATCTAAAACAATTGAGTATCAAAACGATAAATTCACTTTGAATTAAAAAAAAAAAGTACAATTTGTAACAATTATTGTTCAATACCCAAGATCAACCAATTGACCCTAAATGAACTGTATAGCTAACACTCTCAAAGTCAAAACTGACTAGCATGAGTTACTACCTGACTGCGCATGCAGAACTCGCATTTTTTTATCCTATTACAAAGAATCAACAAACTAGAACGCTGCGCTGGATAAGAAAAAACCTTCCAAAATAAATTATAAAACCACCCTCGATTTCTGCTCGCTCTTCTTCTGTTAGCAAACATAACAATCAAGGATACTGTCCCAACAAAGTGCAAAACTATAAAGTCGGTCACTTCCAAGCTTTCCTCCCACGAAATTGTTTACCAGAACGCTGCTGTTTTCTCTTTTTCTCTTGTCTTGATCTCGATACCTTTGCTCTCTTGGCAGCAAGAGGCATGGCCTTTTTGTGTTCTTTTTGCCGATTGCTTAAACCACCAGTCTATCCAAAAAATGAAAGATGAAATGTGAATATAGAAGCAAAACTCGAAAATCTCACCCCATAAGCAAATACCGAAACAGCAGAAGGCATACGAGGGAATTTTGGCGAAAGCTTTAATAACTTTAGTACCAAAAAACTTTATAAATCTAGGCAGAAAAGGCATCTTAATTCACCGGTTGACTTTCTAGGGAGAGCAAAAAAAAAGAGGCAAAAATCTCCTGGCTATGATTTTCATTCAGAAAAAATGGCACAATGTTGTCCCTTTGTTTCATGGTATACTTATAGAGCACCTGCGGTATGCTCACAGACAAAATTCAATGTATTTCCAGTGACATAAGCACAGGCATAATTAACTAAGTAAACAAACTAGCCCAGATAAAAACTAGTACGATGAAAGAAATCTAAAAACCAAGAAGTACCTTTTTCTGTTTGATAGCTGTTCGAGCTTGGTACTTCCCCCTCTCCTCCCTCCCAGCCCTTATCAGTGCTAGCCTTTCTTCCTTGGTCATCTTTTTTCGGATATTAGCCTAAAATAGTCAGCCACATTGCATCAGACAAGTAGTCAGTACCATGGAAAATTAACAGACAGGAAAATCGGAAACTATTTTTCCCAAGCATGCTGATAACTTCTCAGTTTTTAGGTGCCAGATAAACGAAGATGCAGAAGTATATGTGACAAACTAAGCATTCAACAGATCTTCACTACAGAAGTTGCAAGTGGCAACCAGGCTTAGCACTGCCTCCACTTTGTTCAGCTTAGCGAGTACAGCTGAATAAAAACTGAGGTTTGAGAAACTTGCAGGTAACTAAAGACAGCAACTAGAGCCAAAACCATCCTATACAAACTACCAATGAGAAGAAACAGAAATCCAAAACTTACCTCGAGTTTGGCAGCATCAACTCTTTTAGCACTAAGTTGGTCTGTGCTTGGAATCTTAAATCCATGTTGAGCTAATGCAATACTTGCCTCCTTTTTGGCCTGATGATTTAGACAAATACATATATGCAATTACAAAAATTAATTGAGACAATTCATTTCTAACTATTAATTAAAAAAAACACTAGAGAATAGCTACTTTCTGTACAAAATCAAAATCTATAATGAAAATTTGAGTATTAAGACAGGCTTGCTTAAGGATGAAGAGAACCACTAAACCTGTAGCTCTTTTATTCTCTGGAAGTCCTCATTAGATAGAATACCATCATTTGTCTCTGAGGTGCTGCCCTCTCTAGCTCCTGCCAGTTTCTTTAAGGCTCGAAGACTTTGACTGGCAGCATTCAGTTGTTCATTGAAATCAGAAAACTTCCTTTTACCTGCCTTATATCCCCTTTCACCACCACTATCAGTCCTAAAAGTTTCACTACCAATACTCAAGGGACCACTAGATGCTGCAGGGTCATGCCCATCAGCCTTGCCACTTTCATCGCCATCACTGATAACATCAGTATTATCAGAACTAAAATTAGCATCATCATCTTCAGAATCTTTATTCTCTTCTTGCATACTATCATCTTCACTGGTGGTACCCTGGTCATCAATATCTTGATCATCATTGTCGTCGTCATCACCATCATCAGAAGAACCACTATGACCAGCAACCTCCACTTCACTGGGACCAACATCATCATCTATATCTGAAGAGCTAGTATATCCATCATCAGTATCAGCCTCAGATTCAGTATTGTCATCTTTCAATAGCTCAAATCCAGGGACATTGGAAGCGACCTTGACTTCACCATATGCTTTAGGCCTGGCCTTGGGATCAGCAGGTCGCCCTCTATCCTTCTTGACCAAAAGTGATGGGCAAACCTGCAGTGATACCGTCAACATTCCCATAGAAAATAAGTACCAGGAAGAGAAGTACAAGAATACAATTTTAAATGCATGTGCGTGTATCTATGTGCTTGAGAGAGAGAGAGAAATAATACCTCTCTAAACAAAGTAAGAAGTGATCGAGCAGCCGAAGAAACTGCTTTCTCATGTGATTTCCTATATAACACAAGGTCTTGCAGCAAATCTTCCGTCATCAACTACAAATAAAATAAAAGGGATAAAAGTTCCAGAAAAATGGGCATCAACTTGAATAAGAGATAGGACGTTATCTTAGCTTGGCATAAAAAAGTTGAGGCATGACATCAACTTTGGAGTCAAACTAAATACCATAAAACGCAGAATGATGCTAATATTTCTTTGACATCATTAATAAATTGTACCAGAGGCATGCGCAGACATATTTCCCGTACAACATTCAGTCCAACAGAAATGGCCTAACATGAGAGGCAAAAGGTAAGATCAGCTTGACACAGAACAAACATATCCATTTGGGGTAAGTCATCAAAGAAAACTGATGATTTTATAAAGCAGGAATCACCTCAGAGCGAGATCGATCATGCACAAACTGATTCACTATTTGTTTGAACAATGGTTCAACTGCATCAGGTGGAACCTAGTCAAGAAAATCTATTAGCTGCGGCAAAACTAAATTGATAAAAACTATAGAGCATGGTAATGAACAAGTGGACAGAAATAAGATCACATACCATGTCATGGCAAGCCTGAACAGCTGCTGCAAGTAAACTTGTTACATCACGTTGATGGGACTGAAAACAGCAAGAGCAGATGCATGATCATTCAAAGAGAACTAAAAGAAATCTTAAAAGCTGAAGGAAAAAAATGACAAAAAACCTGCACATATTTTTGAAAGTAAGGATATAGGTTCAGCAGAATTAAGCGATGAAGACCAACAGTTCGTGCAATGACTTTCAGCATCATCATTTTCACCTGTAGCATTGAAAAGCCCAAAAAGTAAAAAATAGTAGAGTTCTGCATGATGATATGCTTTGACAAGAAGATGATCTGGAGAACTAGGGACAAAGAAAACAACCTCAAACCTTTCATTAGTAGTTTGAAGGCGTGAGAACAGCTTCTCAGCAAATCCCTGTAATAATTTTTATAGATACCTTAGTTTATACGATAATGGGAATGAGTGGTTTAGGGAAGAAACAGAATAGCCTACCAACCTGTGCATCTTTCAAGTGGTTTAGTGGTGAATAGTAACTTGAATTGTTCTTCTCTGATGACATGCGTTGCTGCTTCTTCATGCTACGGATGGCACGCTGCAATTTTGCTTGCTTTTTCTTTTTGCTGGATGAGGTACCTTTATGTTTTGCCTAAACAAACAAAGTAGAAGAAAAAGATGCTCTTGATTTTGGTGAAATTCATTAGCACAAGTTGCTGAAACTCTCAAGGAAACAGTATCACAATTCTTTCTTCACTAGATAGAACACAGGAAACCAAGAACATGAAGCCAAAAGTGTTCCCTACAGAAGGCTTTAAAGATCCCTGCAAGAACTTTTGTAGTACTCCACTTTAATAATTAACTACACTTCCTCTCCTAGAAGCAACAACAGCCATTTTTCTGCATCTCTAATCCAGATGGCATACAAAGTTATATCAATCTTGATCAAGGGAACAGAATTTGTAAGTTTAGTAAATCCTATGGTATGGAAAAGGCAGCATCAGCAACTAACAGTATACGATGGGAGTTTCTTAAGGAAATTGACCAGGAAAAGATCAGAAAGCCTAAATAGAGCAACCGACCTTGTAGACGACCTCTTTACTAAGCACTATCTGAGGCTGTTGGGTTGCCTGCTCATCTTCACTGCCTGAATCATCACTATTATCATCATCTTCAATCTTCTCATAATCAAGAAGGAATGAGAGGGTAGCAATCATGATCCTGAATAATCAAATACATGAAGAAGTACCTCAATGCAATTAGGTGAATCAGCAGTCTAGTATCTATCATCAACACTCACCTCGGTGATGTATGAAAGCATGCAGTACAAATAGCATTAGCAGTCCTGTCATCAAACCACACCTTCCTCCGGTGAAGATCACAAAGTGTAATGAGTGATCTCTTTGCTTTTGTTTCATCCTCTTGCTTTCACATTGAGACAAAATTTAGACACCAAACATAACCATGATAAACAGACCTAGCATGACAGTAAAGAAGAAAGACGTTAACAAACCTGAAGCATAGAAAACAAGATATTCTGAAGTCCACGATTCTTTGGATCATTCTTGTGCTTTTGATTCATATGCCTAATGTTATGAATAATGTGTGAAAATGCCAATGTCCTCAGAGTCCTGTCACCTAGAGTCTGAAGCTCCATGAATAGTTCCAGTATGTCCACAATGTCAACCATCTAACAAGTATGAAATTCCCATTAATACTCGAACTGAACTGCAGAGGAAATTGAAGAGATTACCAGGATATAAATATTTTTGTTGACGTCCTTGCACAGTTCTTTCTTTTTATTCAAGTGTCAACTTCAATTATGCATGAAAGCCGGATCACTAAGTACTAAGAAAACAAGGAAGCGGATTCAATCCTTCCATTGAAAAATGCTGTGGGAGGGGAAGGATTAAAATTTTACAAGTGAAAAAATTATTCCATTTCTCAGGACAAAGAATGGTAAGCACTACACAATGTCCGGAAAAACCTGCAACTTTACAGCCAAGCAGAGAAAAGAGTATGATAAGTAAATATGTAATTTCATGTGCCACCAGAAAACCAAAAATTACACTTTAGACACTCAGGACTATCTTTTCCATAGGCGCCATTAGTAAACTGAGCCCTCCGGCTATAAGAAGCTAAAACAAGGCACTCCCCACTTCAGCTTTTCTCAATCACCAGCAAATGACCAAGTAGGAATTATGGTTAGACGCTTCAACACTTCATTTCACTCAATCAAACGACTGATCCATAAGTCTCTCCAGAAAGGAGAAATTGAACAAAGAAAAGCATTTGGAGTGCAATTCTTTATAATCCATTCAATCCCTCCATAATCTCCATAAGCTAGTCAGCATGACAAAATTACTAAAATATATGTATTCCTTGGCAACCAAAGAGAGCAATATTTATTCGAAATCCTCCCGCCCCCCTCTTATTACCCCGTCCAAAGAGAAAACAGAAACGAAATCCTCAGCAGAGGCAAGCTTACTCTTTTAACAACAAAAGCTTTACAACTACATACAAAAACGAATGAAAAACCAATTAATTGGGTTGTTAATCTTTTAACAACCCAATTCCTTTCTTAACCCACCACATATTTCCTCAATCTGTTAAACGAAAAACCAATTAATGAAAACCTTTGATATCTACTAAAAAGGTAAAAACACCTTAATTCGAAAAAAAAAAAAAAAAGCAGCTAACCATCCCAGAATAATAACCTTTCTGTTAATCAAGAGAATCAGGGCCTGGGTGACATGAACTCGAAGACCTGACGGAAGAGTCCGGGCCGACGACCGAAGAAACTGCGCAAGCTCCCTGGGAAATTGGGCCAAGTGTTTTGGATAAAAGGGTGTGACATGGGCCAAGAACAATGCCCGGTCACCCAAATCCTTGGCGACGGTGGGGTCGGCGGCGATGCCACTTACAGAGGTAAAGCTCATCGCAGCCTGCTGCTGGAAAAGCTCCATGGACGATTTGAACTGATTGTAGATCAAATGGAGCTCCATTTCGTAGCCTTCTGGGTCGGACTTCATTTTGGACTGTAAAGCAGGCAAGTTAAGCTTCTCTGCATCCTTTCCCGATGCTGTTATAGCCTCTGGATTCAAGTCCGGCAACAACGAAGCCGGTGCTGACGCCATATGCGATAATCGTCCCGAAAAGATGGAGACTTCAGCCAAACCCAACTAAAACCCTAAAGAGGGTATTACTGCTGGATTTCCTTTTATAGTTAGAGTTGTAACGTTAGGTGCTGTTTACTAGGTTGGGTTTTGGGGGAGTAGGGGTAATTTGGTCTTAAAAATACAAGTAGTTAAAGCACGCGGGGATAAACGGCCCTGGCTGCGCCTTTACATGTAGCCCGTTCTGGCAGACTGCCTGACTTTATTTTACTATCATGTTATTTGATTCATTCTCTTCTATAGTAATATGCTAGTGAAGTTGCTGCCTAGAAGTGCTGTGGTTTCCGCGGCGAAAAGGGATGTTCATTCTGGTTTGGTGGCAGCTAATTCTAAGGTAATCTATGTTTCTTGATTCCTCCCATGGAATTCTGCTTCAGCATATTTTTATATGGCTTGAGAACTTTAATAAGCTTTGGGGGGTGGCAGACAAATTAGTGGATTTCGCCTAAACAGTAATAGTTTTCGCCTAAATATGATTCTTTAGAAATATGATATATTTGGTTGTTTTTTAGACCGAATTACGGAGTGACTTTGATTTAACTTTCCTGCAACGAGAAATTAAGCTTGGTTTATACTAGTTAATGTTCTTCTGTTTTAGGAGAATTCCGTATTGAAGTTATCTACTGTCGAGTTTGTGTCAAAGTTGCTTGACCGAAGATGGGCGTTGAGGATCCCAGACGCTCAAATTCACCAAGTTATGGTATGTGGGAGTGGAAGATTTAAACAGCAGGGCAGTGAAGTATTGGAGTTTAGAAATAATTCAGGACCGTCTCTGGGGGATAGTATGGCGGCGAGGAACCTCAGGCAGCCAGTATTTTATGTTGTGAGGGATGATTTGCTGCATCCTTTGGTGAATGGTAACAAGGCTCGCAAGTTGGATGCTTTGCTTCCTTTGCTGGAGGATAACTCGGTGACTGATGTGGTAAGATCTTTTTCCTTTTTCAGGGCATATTTAGTAGTGTTTTGAAGATCTCTATCTGAGCTCCTTGGTTACTACTGATTTTCCTAAATGTTTTTGATCCGACATTTCTTGACCTTTCTTGGTCATTAGTTTCATACTGAGGAGAGGATGCATATCGATTGGTTTTTCAGAGTACCATCGAGGCAGCAAACTGCCTGCCCAGTAACATTAACTTCTGTATTCTTGTTACACTTGTACGACTCGTTACAATTTTTTAAGCAAGAGGGAATATTACTGAGATCCACCACTTTTGGTTTTCCTTGCACATCCAATTGGGTGGAGGGGAAGAGAAATGTACTCGTATGTTTGTCACCTCCTTTTGCCTTTGGAACTCGTTGGCTATCTCGTGTAATACAGTATATTGAAAGCAGAATTAAAATGTCAAATGATATCCAATGGACCGTTCTAGGTTACTTGTGGAGGCTGTCAAAGTGCGCATGCTGCAGCTGTTGGTATGTAATGTCACATTTAAAATGGGACATTTCCCTTGTCATATTAATTATCCCATGGATTGATATGGAGATGTTTGTCTAGTCTTTTGTTTTGAATAAAAACCTAATGCTGTAATAAATTGATCCATATTATACAGCTGTTTCATGTGCCGAACGGGGACTGAAGACGCATCTGCTTCTTCGAGGGGAACAGCCTGAAATTCTAACCGGTTATACTCTGATTTCCACACTTCATGGAAACATAAATTACGTTGAAAGATCTTTATATGCCAGAAGGGATGAAATTCTTTCAAGGCACGCTAATATGATAGCTGGCAGTAATGGATCTGTCCAGTGGCTTAGTGATTTGCTGGAGCCTGCCTCCGTCTATCATGTGCCTCCGAAGCAGATCGTTTCTCAACTAGATGGCTCTAGCAACACCATGAATAAGAAGGTTATCATCATCAACGAAGGTGCGGGCGATGCTGTAGCCTTGTTAGGTACTTGTCCAGTGTATTTCTTTGCAGCTAATGCTGCACTTTCAGACACAGTTGTCTTCATAAATTTATGGAGTTAATGTTGCCTTACTATTCCTTTTCCTCTAGACGTGTCCTTTTCACGTCGAGTGAAATGCAAACTGTTTAATTTAGTTGCAGTGGTATTAACGCATATAGTTCCTTGTAAGGTGTCATACGGCTCGTGCAGTATTTATCCCAGGGTCATTTATTTGGAAAAGTTCAGGCTGTCAAGATTATTGTAGATGCAGGAACAGGGACGACTGCAGTTGGCCTGGGACTGGGAGCTTTGTGTTTAGGGTATGGGCCACCTTCTTTCATTCTTTCTACTTCTCATATGAGCATATCTCCCTTGGCTTTGGTTGTATTAGCTCTTGTATTCATTGAGATGGTCAAGAACTTGGTTCCACACAATTTATAGCCCACATGGATCGTACATTAAAATATACCACATGATCTTTTATGTCAGGCTCCCATGGGAAGTGCATGCCGTGATGCTTGCGGATAGTGTTGAAGGATACAGAAAAAAAGAGCAAAGTTTGATTTCTGAATTTCGTAAAATGTGTGAATCCCCAGAAATTGACCTTAGATTGAACGGAGCAAAGTATGAAGTCGTGCATTGGGTTGAACGCAATCGTCCAAGAAAGTAATCTCATCTCATACTTGTATATATATAATTTTTTTTTTTTTTTTTTATGGCGTTGGTCCTTCTGTTCTGATTGCCATTTTCTATCACAGTTATACTTCTCCGGGATGGGGTTGGCAACCATGCTACATGTCTCTTTCGAACTAGAACGTCCACATTTATTCAATTTTAAATGTTTTAATGGAGTACTTAGCCAGCTGATTAGAGACCTAATCATGTACATCCAGAATGTTTTGATTTGATAATCTGTGAATTTTGTGGGATAGCTACACATATTTTGCTTGCTTATGACTGAGACCTTAGAAACTAGAGATATTTGACTCGCAATCCCTAAATTTTTTGCTCTTAGATTTGGCAATGTATTGAAAGGAGAAGTTGAAGAATGCCAAAGAATTGCCCAACAAACTGGAATTTTAGTTGATCCCATCTACACATTAGCTGCTTGGGAACTAGCCGCCCAACTGAGTCAGGAGCAAGGAGCGAGTGCAGGCGTGGCGATGCTTCACACAGGAGGCACGCTAGGAATATTTGGGCTGGCACAGAGGTATAAACCTCACTTCCAAAATCTGAAAGCTCATTAGGATGGCAATGGATTTGTAACTCTTTCGTAGGTCTGATTAGACTGGATATTTTTCTGTAACATGCTCTGCTGTTTGGTTTTATTGGGAAAAATTGTAGAATTACGGCATTCTAATATCTTCAGGATTTTTTTTCTTTTTCCATATAATTTGGGAGGGTGGAGGGAGTTGTTCGATCGGATCCTTTTTTTCTTTCTCATATATTGCTCAAGCCCAAAGCAGCAAACAGAAATTGTGAAATTTGGAATGTGTGGGTAAAGTTTCATGACGCATAACTTCTAGGTAACGTGACGTGAGATCCATCCGTGGGTCTTGGATCTGTAGGTCGAGGCCCATTCTAAACTATGTGTCATCTGGGCCACGGAACACGTTCCGTTTGCCCGAAGTTAGTGGAATACTGGTTTATAGTAGTAGAGGACATTATTATTATTATTTCACTTCAAAAAAAATAAAAAAAAATTTGTGTTTGCAAGCACAAGAAACTGAAGAAAGTCCTCCTTGCCAAAACCCAATCCCTTTTCCATCTCAAGTTCTGGTTTGCTGTGGAAAATTGCTAACCCTTTTTGAGTTCAAAATGAAGTTAAAAGAGAAGGGGAAACACACACACACACACAAAACACAAACGAGTATGTTTGGTTAAAAAAAAAAAAAAAATTTAGGCCAGATATAAAAATAGTTGATAAGATAAAAAAATAAAGATTCAAAATTGCGTTTATGATATAACCATTTTTTCCCTAAGAAATAGGCAATCCTAACACATTAAAACCTTTAAAACGAAAATCAAAGAATCATAATAAATTACTTGAGAAACCCTTGATTAATTTAGGAGTTAAAATTGAGATCTCAAAACTTAAAAAAGTTTTGGGTTCATAGCCTCTTCCTCCTTTCCACAGCTAAATCTCATCACTTGGCTGGGTTTAGAAAACATAATATGCGTAGTCCATAACAACACATGCTCTAAATATGTGGGTGGGTTTAGATTTTGTCTTGCTCCACGCAGTCGATTCAATAATTGATCTTTCCAAAATTTGAAAATGGTGCTATTATCAACGCCATCCCCAAAGTGAACATAACTAAGCTACTGTAGTAGTCTATTGTTAGAACATGTAACTATAAGCTAGTAATAATGGACTTGGAACATTGGAAGAAGCCTTTCATTTCCAGGGACTTGGGAATTGGAAACTTCTCCAATGCTTAATGCAGCAACTAAGCATGCATATGGTGGCGGTGGCGGTGGCGGTGGCGGTGGTTGGCGGCAGCAGCTTCTCGTAAGCTTTTGAACTTGCCACCACCAAGTATTAGTCTGTTTAAGCAGCAGCAGCTGCCGCCGCCAACAGGCAACAGGCAACAGAATTCCTGGTAACAAGGGTGGGGGGAAGCCAGCAAACCAGGAAGGTCCGTCGGAGCTGGACCCCACTCCATTCTTGTCTCATTTGAGTGTTCTATATATTTCCCCCACGTATCCATGGAGCTTAATAACATCACCTTCCACTTCTTGGTACATTTCTAAAAGTTTTTCATTAACACAAAAGTAAAACAAGTTACTATTATATTATCAATTTTCGAAATATGAAAAAGTTGGCGTGAAGAATCTAGCATTACACACCAGAGCGTTGAAAAAAAAAAAAAGAAAAAAGGAATCCTAGTTTATATTTAGCTATAATTGTGAAAAACTTGCTGATGTAACAATTTCCTAGTAAGATGTGGATGAATGTCTGTATAATCCATAGCATGATTATTGCCTGGGAGGATAATCCATAGCATATAGTAGTAGTAGGAAAGGGTAGTGTGAGTTCATCAGCCACCACTCTCCAGTCTCCACTGCTGGGACAAGGAGCTGGTGGTTGTGTGTTGTTGGACCCTGACTGACACAGGAACCTGGATGGATGTCCTGAGCAAGAGAGAGAGAGAGAGAGGGGGGAGGGCGCGGGCGGGAGGAAAATGGAGGGA